CCGCCGGGAAACACCCCGGCCCTCCCTGCCCGGCCGCCCCCACCCCAGGGGGAGCGACCCAAAGTTGCATTCAGCCAAGGTGAGTGCTTTTCTCCCCCCACCTCCGCGCCCCCACTGCTCCTGGGAGGGGATGGATGGGGTTGAAGTTTGCAGGGGTAAGGGGCTGCAGCTGGGACAGGCTGCATCGGTTTGGTGTCTCCTGAAAGAAGAGGAAAGCTTGGGGGGGGGGTCCCTTCACCCCCCCCCCTTTAACTGCTCGGGGGGCCTACCTGCCCCCCTTTAACCTCTTCCCTGGGCAGGAGGCTGCTCAGCCCCATCTGCCAAGTGGGGAGTGCGCGCAGGTTGCATCACTGAGAGCGGGCAAGAGGCGCCCAAGTCTCTGCCTGTGCCTCCAGCCGTGTATGTCCCTCCAGCTGTGTGGGGCTGGGGAGAACACGATGGCTGGGTGTGAAGGAGGAGGGGGTGGGTGTTGCAGGGGGCGACTGCCTTTCATTGCATGAGGGGGGAGAGTGCCGCCCTTGGGGTGGGTGTGCAAGGAGGAGCAGGGGGTGGGGGGCTGAATTTGTGGGCCCTGAGTAAAGGCGCCGTCAGATTTGGAAGGATCCTAAAGACCCCCTTGGGTCGTGTGTCATGTCGTGTCGTGTCCCCCCCCCCCCCCCAATCTGCTGGGTGCTTTTCACTCTTTTGTGCCCCAGATCCGAGCAGCAGGGCAGGGAGAAAGGGGGGTGGGTCCCATCCCCATGAGTGTGAGCAGGGCTGAATTTGGGGCTTAGGTTCCCTCCAGAGCAACCCCTCCCCCCAGCACACCTGCAGGGAATGCTCCCACCTGAGCGCTTTCCCTCTAGGGGTTTCTGTTATGGATCAGGAGCTGCCCTGTTGCTTAGTGCCCTGGTGTCCCCCTTCCACCAACCCACACACACACTCTTCCTTGGTGCAGGCAGTGTGCAGTGAAGTGTTGGGGGTCACTTCCAAAGCTGCTGTCTGGGGGGACTGAGTCACTGCTGCTGCTTTCCTGCTTCTGTGGTTTGTCTAAGATTGCGTTGGGGTGTTTGGAGGGGGCTGTCCCCCACATGCACCTGGGGTTCCAACTCTGCTGTAACTTGACCACAAGTTGTTGCCACAAACAACCATAGATGTATTTTTTATTTGACGCACTCAACGCAGTTGGCAACTGACTCTACTCCCTTGGAGGTGCTTTTGTGGCAAGCAAGAACCTGCTTTAAATAGCCAAGCATCTGCTCCAAACTTCTTCATGGTTGTGTATCAGGCAGCACCTTTTCTTAAGAGCAGTGTCTCTATATCAATTTAATCAGTTCAGTGTACTTAACCAAAAAAAAAAGTAATTACTCCCCATAAAATCTTTCCTGTCTGTTGGGAACCTGACAAGAGATGAAGCTTAATGAAAGACTTTTCTCTCTTTTTTTTTTCTGGTTTGGAGTAAAACTGGAGAGAGATGTTAACTCTGATAATTTTCTTGGATCACTAAAACATAGCATGTAGGTAAGGCAGTTAGCTGCAGAGGCTCTGGCTGTCATGAAAGTAGCTAAGTGTGAAATCATGCCTCGCCTTTTGTGGAACAGGCTATTTTTATAATACGGCGGGTGTCTTGCTTAAAAATGCTTCGGTTATTGTGAGATCACCGTGCTCTTATTACTGAAGCCCTGCCAGCTCTGGAGTAAACGACGTTTTTCATTCTTGAAGATAATCATAAATGTGAGGCAGAAATGACACCTTATTAGAATTAGTCTTTAGTCTGTTGGGAAGATTGCTAAATTATAGTGTTGCTGTTTTCTCTGCCATGGTTGAAGACTTGTCAGTGTTTTCATGACAAAAAAATTTTTTTAGGTCTTTGGAATTGTCATAGATGTGTGCATTTTAATTCAGTATTCAAAGGCTTGAACTGGGAGTGGGATTTTTCTTTGCAGGTGGATTTGTATGAGATTTTGTTTTGGCTGCATGCAGTGGTGTATAGTTTGGAGGTGGTGCTTTGTATAATGTGACGGGGGGTTTTTGTATATGAGGAAATTGGCATTTTGGTAAGAAACAAGGAGTAGTTGCTTTTAATAACATGGATAGAATAAAATTGCCAAGGAAACATGTTAAACCATTGACTCCTGGGCTTGTATTAGTAGTGCTTCTTTAACATTTTAGAAGATACTTCATCCCATAAATCAAAACTGTACATATTTTTAAGATGCATGCACATTCTTTTGAAAATCTGAATTAGCTTTGCATCCTGTTGCACGGGGTTCATCAATAGTATGTCATTGCCCGTATAGCAGGTGGACTGCCATAGTATTTCACCATAGTATATAGGATACATGTTTTTAGGGTCATTTTCATGCTCAACTATCTAACTCCAAAAGCTAATTTGATGGTGTTGAATGCCATCTGCACAAAATGGAAGGAAACCCTGTCTTGTCACAGCAGGGGATTGGGAATTAGGATTACAAGTTTCTGTCTCTAGATCAGTGGTTCTCAACCTTGTAAGACTCAAGGCGCTACTTAGAAAATGTCAGCTCTTAGCTTTCCTTCAGTTTTTGACTATGGAAAAATAATAGAGCCATTCTTCTGTTGCAGAGAAACCAGAAAGACTGCAACAGGTCAGAATGTTTTTGATGCTATGAATTCTTATTTGAAGTCTTGTTAATCATGTGTAGGTGTGTGCATAACTAACAGTGCTAATTTTGTGGCAGCCTTAAAGGCATCTCATGGCACCTCAGGGTGCTGGTTGAGAATCAGTGCTCTAGATCGTTGTTTTACATGCTGGATAATATTGGGCAAGATGTGTAATGCGATGTACCTCAGTTTACCGAAATCTAAAATGGGAAGATTATTTGATAGCCATTTTGCAAAAGCATTTAATATTTTTAAGGCATCTTAAGATCCTCTAATGAAAAATTCTGTAGGGGCACAGGTAGTGTAAGGATGTAGTATTAGCTAATGTTGCATTTACAAAAATATTCACAAATATATATTTTTGTAAATTTGGTAAGATGTTGACTATCGGGGTGCAGAGGGCAGAGACCGAAGTGATATACTCCCTGATGTGCTTATTAAGCTAAAATGGTCAACACATGGCTGGAAAAAATTAGGCAACTGAATGTTAGAGCTCATGTTCTGGGTTCTTTCTTCATACAGAGCCACTGATATTAATGGAATTCATGCATGCAGTATATACTCTAGTGACAACTTGTGTCCTCCTTTCCCATCCCCCCATATCCAAATCTTTGCTTTCAGCCATTGTATCTTGGCATTAAGAGAAAAGTGTAGTTTGCTGTGCTAGAAGAGCCTTGCTGACTGAGAGCAATAGTCCAAATCATGATAAATAGGAATCTTCTGTCAGTATCTAATATCCTTACACTGAGAAAATCCTAGTAAATGTCTGCCATTGTAGGAGGCCTCAGAGACCCACTGAAATTAATGAGATTTAATAAAATCACCATATTATATAGGGGTCTGTGCATCTCTTCATTTACACTCATAATGAAAATAGGAGAGATGAAACCTACCTTAATGTGCATGATACGTAGCATGGAGTATGTGACAGTAATTGCCCACATTTAGATATTGAAAAACCTTTGAAACTTCATACTGTTGTTGTTAAGTAAAAGAGCTATTCTTCTTTAAAAGGCTGAAGTATTTAATTGTCAGTTATCTATGCTCCCTTAAGGTTTGCTCTATTAAATATCTGCATCCACAAAAAATACCCTGTTATTACAATATTTTTAAACTCCAATTTCAAAAACAATGAAGAGGAATATGTTTCTCTTTGCCTGTTCATGACATCATCCATTCATTTCAATAAGGTTTTAATCAAACATAGGTCATGTTGAGACCTCTAGTATTGCATTTGGGGTGAGAAATCAAGTGTTAGGTTCCAGCTTGATGTATAGGTCCCTGCATGTTATAATGCCAATTCTGATTTTTAACCAAATTCAGTTTATGATGGATCATAGATTTCATCGATATTAGGGCTGGAAGGGACCTCAGAAGATCATTGAGTCCAGCCTCCTGCCCCAGGGGCAGGAAGTCAGCTGGGGTCACAGGATCTCAGCAAGATAAGTGTCCAATTGACTCTTAAAGGAGTCCAGAGTAGGTGCTTGCAGCACCTCTGGAAGGAGTCTGTTCCAGGCCTTGGGGGCTCAGCCAGTAAAGAAGTTTTTCCTTATGTCCAGCCTGAAATGGTCTTGGAGGAGTTTGTGACCGTTTGACCTTGTCATCCCATGGAGCACCCCCAGATCCTCATTCAATATATATATATATATATATATATATGATCTTACACACACCCCTTTTAGTGTAAATTGAACTGCATATTCTAAGTGTGTGTTGGAGAAAATCTTCTTTCTTTAAAATATCAAGTGCTCTGAAAAATATTTTTTACTATTTTTTTAATTGTGCTCAAAAGCAAGTTCACCTTGTAAGCGTGAGACATGTCTGGTCTATCTCAAAAGTGTATGTTCTCCATTTACATGCCTGGCTGACTGTATCTTTTGTGTGTAATGCATGTGACTTATGTTCTAATAAACATATTTTCACGTCCTTCAACTATAGATTCATGTATATTTTGGGTATGGTGGTTGAATATAGCTTATTTCTGGGTTGGTGTGATGGTGCATGTACCATCCATTTTGGTGATATTTTGAAGAAAAACGACCAATTTTGAACTTGAAATACTACCTTCGTGTAAAATCTAAGTGGCTCCCTCCCCCCACCACTTCATTATAGCCAGTCAGTTTTAGAGAATGTGAGAGTTTCTTTGATTAAGCTATTGTAGCTCTCTACAAGAATTTGAATGTACTTCACAGTGATTGTACCATATAGCTGAGTGGACAATTGCTTGCTACCCAACAGAACTACCTATGAGTTTTTCCAAATAGTGTTCAAAATGCTTACATAGCTTTCCACAAAAAAATTGTCACCATTTCTTCAGCTTCAGCCAAAAGGCATTAACCTTGGCAGCTGTCTGAATATTAAGCACACATTTGAAGCATGCATCAAGAAAATGTAAAATGTATGAATATAGCCAGCTGAGATTCAGCATGTTCCTTTTGCTTTATAGTCAGGCTGAAATGT